AGCTGCTTGAAGTTGACCTACAGCTCATTGATGTTCTCTATTTTGTGGAATTCTTTTCCCTCTGTGTGTTTTTTTGTGGATAATTTCTATTGCTATGTCTTCAAGTTCACTAATCTTTTCTTCTGCAATGTCTAATTTTCCATTGATTACATCTAATGCATTTTTCATCTCATGCATTATAGTTTTCAATGAAGCTTGATTGGGCTATTTTATTTTATTTTATTTTGAGACAGTCTTCCTCTGTTGCCCAGGCTTGAGAGTGGCATGATCTCTGCTCACTGCAACCTCCACCTCCTGGGTTCAAGTGGTTCTCATGCCTCAGCCTCCCAAGTAGCTGAGATTACAGCCCCAGGCCACCATGCCCAGCTAATTTTTGTATTTTTAGTGGAGATGGGGTTTCACTGTGTTGACCAGGTTGGTCTCAAACTCCTGACCTCAAGTGATCCACCTGCCTCGGTCTCCCAAAGTGCTGGGATTACAGGCGTGAGCCACTGCACCCAGCAATAACTATTTTAATGTCCTTCTTTGCTAATTGTAACATCTGGGTCAGTTTTGATTGCTTAATCATTTCCTCATTATGTCCTCATTATGTCATTATGTCAGTATTAATGATATTTCCTGCTTCTTTGTATGTCTCACAATCTTGATTGGATATTTGACATTTGGTAAAACAGTGGATATCTTTGCATTGCAGTAAATATGCTTTGTTCTGGGATGCAGTTAATTTACTTGGAATTAGTTTAATTCTTCATAATATATTTATTAGAAAAGTCTAGATAAGTAGTCAGTCTAGGATTAATTTTATTCTCCACTACTGAGGCAAGACCTTTCTTACTCAACCCGCCCCTCTCCCACACTAGACACAAATATGCCAAATGCCCCACCAGAATTATAGATTGTTCCAGTCTGACTGGTGGAAACAGACATTATTCATGGGCCTGTGTGAGCACCAGGTACTATTTTTTTTTTTTTTTATTTTGAGATGGAGTCTTGCTCTGTCGCCAGGCTGGAATGCAGTGGCACAATCTCAGCTCACCGCAACCTCCACCTCCTGGGTTCAAGCAATTCTCCTGCCTGAGCCTCCCGAGTAGCTAGGATTACAGGCGCCCGCCACCACACCTGGCTAATTTTTTTGTATTTTTACTAGAGATGAGGTTTCACCATGTTGGCCAGGACAGTCTCAATCTCCTGAACTTGTGATTTGCCCACCTCGGCCTCCCAAAATGCTGGGATTACAGGCATGAGCCACTGCACCCAGCCTGTCCATTTTAATCCTTTAGGATGATTCTCTCCACAAGCCTCAATTATTTTCCTCCCATATTTGCAGTGATGTATACTCCAGGGGACGCTGGAAGGGCACTCCTGCACGTCTCTCACTTCCCTCCCTGCACAACTCTCTTTTCTCTGAAACCGTCCAGTGAACTCCAGCTGCCTTGATCTTCCTGGACTTCCAGCCCCACCTCTGCAACTTGGGAGTCTTCTGGGATCCGTCTGGCTTCCCCCTGTCTGCACTCTGGCGGGGGAGAAATCTGCCTCTCTCAAGGCAGACATCTGGGGCAATTGGAGGGCTCACTTTGCTTGTTTCCTTTCTCTCTGGGGTCACTGCATTTAATTTTGCCTGATGTCGGGGTCCGGGAAGCCACTGTTTCATATATTCTGTCTGATTATTTCAGTTGTTGCAGGTGGGGTAAAGAAGCCTGTTACTCCATTTTGGCCAGAAGCGGAAGTGCTCTCTCTTTTTTTTTTTTTTTTTTTTTTTGAGACGGAGTCTCGCTGTGTCGCCCAGGCTGGAGTGCAGTGGCCGGATCTCAGCTCACTGCAAGCTCTGCCTCCCGGGTTTTTACGCCATTCTCTGGCCTCAGCCTCCCGAGTAGCCAGGACTACAGGCGCCTGCCACCTCGCCCGGCTAGTTTTTTGTATTTTTTAGTAGAGACGGGGTTTCACCGTGTTAGCCAGGATGGTCTCGAACTCCTGACCTCGTGATCCGCCCGTCTCGGCCTCCCAAAGTGCTGGGATTACAGGCTTGAGCCACTGCGCCCGGCCGTGCTCTCTCTTTTTAAATCAAGTATTGGCCACCTCCTACTTGCAGGTCATGTGAACCCCCACACAAAACCAGACAAATGCCAGCCCTCTCCTGACTACAACTCCACCCAAGGGATAATGGATTGGTGGTGGTAGTGATGGGGAAAACGGCAGACAGTAATTTTTACAGAAAGAGAATGCAATGTGATTTGACACAAGTTACTAGGTACCTGGGCTGGGGGTACCTGGACAGAGGCAAGCAAGCCAGAAGCAACCTCTTGGTGGGATGACCAGGGGCTTTGTTCATGCAGACGAAAAGTCTGGTGTTCCCCATCTCCGCGATGCCAAGGCTGAGAGAGCCTGGAACCCCTGGCTTGTGGTTCTGATTGCTGCTCGGAGAGCAGTTTCCCTTTGAACTGGAGAAAGAAACTGGCAACCCAGCAAGAAAGGTCCAAGGTGCCACACGACAGGAAGAAGGGGGAGAACAAATTTCCCCAGGTGAGGGCAAAATAAAATAAGAGCCAGTTGAGGGGTGATTCAGGCTGCATCAAGCCAAGCCTGGAATTATGCTAACTACAGCCATGGTCATTACCACCCTGGTCCCTGAGAGCCACTATGCTCTGATCATTCCCAGTGTTACCTTGTTTGGTCCACATGGTGACCAGTAGGGTCGCTTGTAGCCTCCCTATTTGGGAGAGGCTGTTGCTTGTCCAGGAGGAGGAACTCTCCCTCGCCATGGCTGAGCAGGCACAATGGAGCCAGCCCTGCCCTTGGGGTGGGCAGCAGCAGAGGCTGCCAGCCCTGTTGCCTCTCTGGGCAGGCAGGGTCCTCCTTCCTGCCAATGAGATGCTATACAAGAGGGTCTTGACAGCTAGGGCCTGCCCACGGTTCAGTCTCCTGTTGGGCTGCAGGGAGTTGTAAGCAAAGTTGAGGACCCCTGCCTGCATAACCAGTGTCAGCACCAGCAAGTGTGTGTGTGTGTGTGTGTGTGTGTGTGTGTGCAAGTGCATGTGTGCACGTGTGTGTGAGCATGTGTGGTAGCAGGTACTCCCAGAGCCCTGAGTCCACGGCTGAGACAGCCTGCCGATGCTCTCCAGTTCTACAACTGTCACAAGAATGTGGCAGCCAGGCTAAGCTGGGAAGCTAATCCGGCTTTGATGCTGACCCTCTGGCCATCCAGGGCGCTGAGGTCAGGACCACCTGCTCTGGTCCTGGATGAAATGCAGTGGGAGTAGAAGGCTGGAGTGCCCTGGGACTGATGAAGACTCGCCCCTGGGACCACGTTGTTGCAACTCCTGCTTCTGAGAAAGGAGCACGGGGCCGTCCATGTGCTGTTCGCTCAGCAGCTGTTTGCCAGGCACCTGGCATGTGTCAGCGCTGCCCAAGGCACAGGGATGCTGTGGTGAGCAGATGGGCCCACATGCTACCCTTGTGAGCCAGACAGTGGATGTAATATACCCTGGGCCAGCCAGATGGCTGCAAGTCCAAGACAACTGGGAGGCAGGGAAGGGGGACAGGCCACTGCAGGGAGGAGGCTGCAGGTACAATTTCATGGAAAAGGTGACATTTTAGCAGAGACTGGAAGGAGGTGAGGGAATGAGGTGGCAGATGTCTGAGGGAGGAGTGTCCGGGTGAAGGAAGCTTCTGGTGCCATGGGCCTGAAGCAGGAAGAAGCCCGGTCTGAGTGAGGAGAACCTCGGCTGCCACGGTGGCAGAAGAAGCCGGGGCAGTGCCCCCTCCGTGGGCTCCAGGAACGCTGGGCCGTGCACTGAGCAAGCTGAGAGTATTTGGAGGGTTTTGGCAGAAGAATGATGTGATTTGACTTAGGTTCAGAAAGGATGATGTGTGAGGACTTACGGTGGCCACACCAGGGACAGGGAGCCCAGGGAAGTCGCAGCCATGACCATCAGGAAGAGTAAAGGCAGCTTGCCGTGGCTTAGCCCTGGAGGCCGGATTCTGGCCATGTCTGGAAGGGAGAGCCATGGGATTTTCCGATGGAATAAATGTGAGATTGGAGAGAAAGAGGGGAGTCAGGGACAAGCCTAAAGTTTGCGTGGGGAGAAACGGGAAGAAAGTAGTTGTGGTTTTCTGAGTTTGGGAAGTTTCGGAAGGGGGCAGGTCTGGGCTGGGGCGTGTGCCAGGCGAGGCATCCGGGGTGGCCTGGAGTTGGATGTAGGAGTCTGGAACTCAGGGCAGCATCCAGGCTGCACATATTTGGGGGTTGTAGGAGAATTATTGGTGTCTGAAGAACTGGATGGGTTTCCAAGGAGTGTAGAAGAGAGAAACCCGGTGGCAAGCACAGGGGTGAAGCCGCCAGCGGGGAGAGCAGGGAACCCAGCAGGAAGGCAGGAGCAGGAGGAGTCACAGCCAGCCAGAGAGACACGAAAGGCTTCAGTGGAGGGGTGGTGGGGTGAGAGAAGGGGAATCCCAATGGGAGACAAAAGTGGATGGCACTTGAGGGGCTTTACTTTCAGAAAGAGCAGAGACACAGTGGAGGGAAGGGCATCAGAACCGGGATTTTCAGATGGGCAAGTCACAGCTCCTGGGCACCTGCTGTGGGCGGCTGCGGAGTGGTGAGGAGCCGGGGGACGCAGAGATCCAAGGGGCTCGGCTGGAAGCCAGCTCAGCCGGGGGTGGGCAGTGGGTCTGGGGCAGGGGGCTTCCGGTGCTGCTGTTTCCAGAGCTGGAAGGAGGGGACAGGGAGGGGACAGGCGCGCAGGGGCGGCCGCAGCAGCGTGGACGGAGGCGCGAGGACTCGGGGGCCGCAGTCACGCCTGTGGTCATGGCTGCCAAGGAACGCGCGAGTGGATAAATTTAACCCAGGAGGAGACTGCGTGGGGCTGCGGAGAGGGCCCGGGGCCGCGGGTGCTTGCAGGGTAGAGGCGCGCTGGGGAGGAGGGCGCGCTGGGGAGGAAGGCGCGCCGGGCCGCGGGCAGAGGCCAAGGCGGCGCTTGGCCGTACGCGTTCAGGCCTGGCCCTGCTCGGGAGAGGCCCAGCGAGGGTCGGGGAGCCGCTGCCTGTGCCTCAGCTTCCCGTTCTGTGAAATGCAAACAACACTCGCCCTGACCTCCCGGATGCGACAGCTCTGGAGGGCGCTGGGGAGGGTCCGCCTCATTGTCGTCGTGGAGAAGGGAGCGCTGCGGGGCTGAAGCCAGAGGCTGCGGGACAATCCTGGGCGCGGGAGAATCTCCGAGACCCACAGCGGGAACGACCTAGGCGCGCGGGGCGGAGGTGGTGGCCGGGCCGGGCGGCGGAGGGGCTGGGGGCCGAGGTCCGGGCCGGGCCATCCCGCAGAGGGCAGTGCAGGATCGGCCCTGGCCACACGCGCCCTCCGGCTGCCAGAGCCGCTCCGCCGCGCCGCGCCCTCTCCCGAGGCCCCAGCGGTTCTCCAGCACCGGGGGCGGCGCGGAACTGCCCTTCTCGCCTTGGACTGTCACAGCAACCCCGGGACGCGGCCGATCAGCCCCGCTTCATAGAGAAGGAAACTGAGGCCCCGAGAAGTCAAGCACCTCGCCCCAAGCAGCACGGCTAGAAACGGGTAGGCCGGGCTGCGACCCCGCCCTCCGCAGTGGGGACGCGTGGGCTCCTGACCCTGCGAACAGCGGGTTGCTCTTGACCCCGCGCCGCCGGCTTCCTCAGGGCCCTCGCAGTCCGCCGCCTTGTCGCTCGTCTGGCCCGCGCCTGCAGGGGTCCCTCCCGCGCTGCAGGACTTTATCCGGGCTTGGGGTGGGCCGCGGCGGGTCTGGGGTCCTCTGGCTCCCGCGCTTACGGGAGCGGCGGGGAGGGGAGCCCGCCTCGGAAGGGCCCCCTTTGCCGGGCACAGGCAGGCCGGTCTTCCTGCGCTCCTCGCTCCCGGGCTGCGGCCTCGCGTCCCCGGGCCACGGCGCTGTAGCCACGCGGGCGGCGCGAAGTCGTGGAAGGAGCGGACCGTCCTCCCCGGGCACTATCGGACTGCGGGCCTCCCCGGTCCAAGTCGAAGCAGGTGCCATGGAGCTCGGCCCTGCACGGGGCAGAGGGAGTGGCCGAGGGCTCGGAAGCGCGCTGTCTCCACCTCCGCAGCACCCCGCCTGCCCCGTGCCAGAGCTCGTCCTGCCCCCCATGGCCCTCGCTCAGCGGCCTGGCCTACGGGAAGGGAGCTGGGTGTGCTCAGAGGGACCCGGGGAAGAGACGGCAGGGACCCCTCGAAGACATGAAAGGAAAGAGGGGAAGAAGAGGGAGGGTGGGCACGGGAAGGGGAGCAGCTGAGGGGCTGGGAGGGAAGTGGAGAGTAGCGGGGAGCCAGGCGGAGGAGCGGACTTGTTATTTACAGTTATTAATTGCTGGGAACAGATTGCAGCTGGAAACGCTCTCGGTGCCAGCTCTCGGTGCCAGCTGAACCTCTTGGAGCAAGCCCCATTCACGCAGGCCACTATGAGTGAAGGCTCCACACGAGCATCTCCTAGGTGTGAGATCTCGGTAACTCCAGGCCTCACATCCAGACACCCGCACCCTGGAGCCTGCAAGCCTCCTGAGGGTCTCTAACCTACTCCGCTGGATAGTGCTGGCCCTCGACTTGCCCAGTATGAGTCATCGTGGCAACACCTCGGAAAATACCCAAGTCACTCCAATTACAGCATTATCAATCGCTGCCATCGCTCTGGAACTCAACCCAATGAAACTGGCAAGAATGCCAGCCGGGCCGGGCCGGGAGGAATCCAGTTCTTGGCGAAGGCTGCTTGCCTGGCAGCGCGTCTGCGGCCATGCCAAGCCACAAGCCCTGTGTGGTCGAAGCTGCAGAGGTGTCGGCTCCATTTCACAGTCATGGACACTGAGGCCCACCAAGGCTAAGGCCTCTCCTGCAGCCCAAACCCATGACAGAGAACCCAGAGAGGGAAAGGCTGCCTGGCCAAAACCGCGCCTCAGATGGCAGGGGGTGGTGGTGGGTGGTGGGCGGTGGAGAGGGCCTCAGTCGGGCCATGCACCACACTAGCCCCTGGCATGGTGGCCTTTCATGGAGTGTCTATCCTATGTTGGCTGGGCCATGGACTGTGCATGCATTATCCCATCAACCTCAACAAAGTAGGGGCCATGATCCCTGTCTTACAGACGATGAAACAAAGGCTTAAAGCATTTGTCACTTGCCCAGGGTCACTCAGTTAGTAAATGACAGCTCTGGGTTAAAACCCAGCCCCGTCTGACTCGGGGTCCATGCTGCTTCCACAGGGACTCGTCTTCTGTCTCCTGCCTGAAGGTGAATGTGCTGACCGAGGGCACCGTCTCAGTGCCTGTGTGCACGGGTGCACACGCCACGCCCATCAGCAAAGATCCCACTGGCCCCCTGCCTCTGACATCCTGTGGGCGGACAGCCTGGCCCAGCAGAGTGGGGAGGCCAACTACAGCTGGCCACCCACGATCCAGTGGCGCTCCATGCTCCTAATCAGTAAGATATGTTTCTGGAATAAAAACCGCATCAGCATTTTTATTTTCAAGTTCAGACAAGGCTTTTTTTTTTTTCTTCCCAATTTTCCCTTCACATGGGTGAGGCTAATCTTCCTGCCTTGACTGACAAGTCTTTAGACTCAGCTGTACATTTAAAGAAGCAAAGAATCAATGACAATGGCACAGGGAGACCTCTCTTCTTCCTTGAGTTCTTCAGATTTCAGTAATACCACAGCCCATAATTACTAATGCAAAATTAAAAAAAAAATAGGATACCAAGACGGAGGCTAAGTGCTGCTTTGCCGCGTGTTCCGGCAAACGCAGATGGGGCAAGCTCCAGGACAGTTCCTGTCCCTCCCATGGTTAAAGTACGGTCTCACCTTTCTTCCCAAGGACCTTCCTGGGGAGCAGGACCAGGAGGCCCCAGGTAGATGGGCCCCCAGACTGGGAGCAGGGAGGGGGAGAGCCTGGCGAGTGCTGGTGCTTCCAACAGAAAGATGGACTAAAATAATAAAAAGCAAAGATGAATGGGGATGAGGAAGCAGGAGGCGGGAAGTGGAGAGGTGAGCGGGCATCGGGAAGTTGCTGCAACTGTGCAGGCCCAGGTGTGAGCCAGCAGCTCCAGGGAAACCACTTACAGCTCAGGAATACCAAGAGCAGGCGAAAGCCTCTCTCAGGAGTGGGGAGGACGCCATGGTTACAGAGTAAACATTACCATTTCCTCTCCCCTCCTTCTTAGTGTTTTTCAGAGTATATTCAAGTTAAAAGTCTCTCCTCGTGGAATTTAACTTGACTTCTATTTAAGAAAAGGTGGGGGTGGGGGAGGCAAATTCAATGCAGTAAGTTTCTTGGGCATTTGTTCAGAAAGGTTTCCGGGAAAAACAGAGCCTCAAACACTGGTGGGAGGTGGAGGGCAGGTGGAGAAGAGGTGGAGGAGCTACTGGCGGAGCTAACTGCACAAGTTACCTCCTTCCAGAAGCAAACCCAAGAGAACAGGGCACTTCTTCACTGTGGGGCTTGTTCCGGGCACTGCTGGATGTCAGACACTTGGGCCCACTAAATGTCAGTGACATCCCCTAGTGACTGACAACTCACGCTCCCACATATTCCCAAATGCCCCCTGGTGGGGGGAGGGGGTACTGCCGCCAGAAAGCTGTCGGGGTGGATAACCGGGTGTGTGGGGATTTTCTCACCTCTGGAAGGAGGTTAGACGTGCAGTTAGCTCTGCGGGCAGTTCTTCCACCTCTTCTCCATCTGGCTCACCCAACTCAGCATTTGAGGCTCTGCTTAAATGTTACTTCTTATAACTTTTCTGAACAAATGCTCAACAAACTTACTGCCTTGAATTTGCAGTAGTGTGTGATGTGTGGGTGTGAAGGGGCACAGGGTGGGGAAGGATGGTGCTTAGAGATGAGGGTGTCAAGAGGCAGCAGCTGGATCATCAGTTGCCTCGAATGCCATCTTGGGGAGGAAGCCACTGAAGAATTTCAGGTAGTGGAATGGTAGGACAGATCTGCACTCCAGAAAGATCACTTCAGCTGCTGGGTGGATCGTGCTTTAGAGAAAGATAAGATTGATGACTGAGGCCTGGAATTTTCTTTGTGAAAAGACAATTTCTTTTCTTTCCTTTTCTTTTTTTTTTTTTTTTTAGAGACAGGGCCTAGCTCTGTTGCCCAGGCTGGAGTGCAGTGGCACAATCATGGCTCACTACAGCCTCAACCTCCTGGGGTCAGGCAATCCTCTCACCTCAGCCTCCTGAGTAGCTGGGACTACAGGTATGAGCCACCACCTTGGCTAATCGTTTTATTTTTTGTAGAGATGGAGTCTTGCTTTGTTGCCCAGGCTGGTCTCGAACTCCTAGGTTCAAGGAATCCTCCTGTCTCAGCCTCCCAAAGTGCTGGGATTACAGGTGTGAACTGCTGCACCCGGCCTCAACTTTAACAGGTATAGGGCTATTTGGATTTTCTATTTCTTCTTGTGTCCATTTTAATAATTGTCTTCATGGAAATAATTTCATCTAAGTTGTCAACATTTTTGGCATAAAGTTATTCATAATTTTTCTTTATCTCCCTTTTAATGTTTGTAGGACTTGTAGTGATGTCCCATCTGTCACTGCTGATATCCATAAAGTGTGGGGTTTTTTCCAGCTGGAGATTAAGCAAATTTATTGATGTTTTCAAAGATGCAGCTTTTGGTTTTATTGATTTTTCTCTATTGTTTGAAAATGTCCAATTCCATTGATTCTGCTTTTCCTGGTATTGTTTTCTTCTTACTTTGTCTTTCACTTGCTCTTGTTTTTCTAGTATCTTATGTTGGGAACTTAGATCATCAGTTTTCAATCTCCCTTCTCTTCTAACACAGCATAAAGCTCTGCATTTCCTGCAAGCACTACTTTAGCTGCATCTAAAACATTTCCAGATATTGTATTTTCCATATTATTCAGCTCAACATATTTCCAATTTGCTTTTTAATGTCTTCTTTGACCTACAAGTTAGTTGTAAAAGTGCTTTTCAATTTCCAAATACTCAGATTTTTTCAGGCATCTTTTTGTTACACACACACACACACACACACACATATATATATATATGTATATATATATTTTTTTGAGACGGAGTCTCACACTGTCGCCTAGGCTGTAGTGCAGTGGCACGATCTCGGCTCACTGCAAGCTCTGCCTCCCAGGTTCACGCCATTCTCCTGCCTCAGCCTCCCGAGTAGCTCGGACTACAGGCGCCCACCACCATGCCCAGCTAATTTTTTTGTCCTTTTAGTGGAGACGGGGTTTCACCGTGTTAGCCAGGATGGTCTCGATCTCCTGACCTCGTGATTCACCCGCCTTGGCCTCCCAAAGTGCTGGGATTACAGGCATGAGCCACCATGCCCGGCTCTTATTATATATTTTAATTTAGTTCCGTATGTGAAATCATAGTTATTCTCTAGAATTTCAAGCATAAACATACTACCTTGGGATAACATTCTGAGTGAAGGGACATGAAAATACAGGTTTTAGAAGAAAAAGTAAGAATATAGCTTTCCCTCAGTATATTTGGGAGTGTCCCACAAACACTGCATTTTTAGTCTATGGTTGAAAAAATTCCATTTTATAAGTGGCTCCTTGCAGTTCAAACTTGTGTTGTTTGAGGACCAGCTGTATTTCCTAACATTAAAAGAAAGTATGTTCCATTTCAAAATGGATAATGGTGGATACCACATTTTTCTGTATTTGAATTCTATTAAAATCATTGAAGGAGTGATATAATTGTTCTGCTTTAAAGCATTTCAGCCATTTGTTGAAAATTATATTATTTGCATCTGTAAATACGTAAGATGAAAAAATTTAGAAATCAACTTGATAGGTTGATAGATTTTTTCCATGTTCTTTGGGAAATGTGAACAAAATGTTTGAAGACAACTTAGCTGAATAATGAATAACAAGGTATCTGGAATTCGGGCATTTTCTTTTTCTTTTAGGATGGGTCAGGCTTGAGCCTATGGGAAAGGAGGCGGCAGGGAGGGAGAGGTGGAAGATGCAGGAGACAGAGGATTGCCCAAGTGGGAGGTCCCTATGGAAGTGGAATGGGCAGCGTCGCTCACAGGTGGAGGGGCTGGCCTTGGAAGGAGATGGGCTTCTTTCACTGTCCAGGAGGGAGAGAGGAATAGGTGGTGCAGGTGCAGGCTGGACGGTTTGGGGGTGAGAAATCCAGGGAGTTCCTGTTCGAAGGTCCTGGTGAAGTAGAAGGAGAAAGGAGACGGCGGGCCAAGTGTTTGGGGATAATGGTTTTCAGTAGCCCCTGAGGGGCTCAAGGGTGCTGATGGCATGATGCATGCACTATGAAAGGAGACTTTTTCACACTCTTGCGGCCCATCACAATTGAAGCTGCACTTCTTTAGTGCCTCAGTTGGAGAGCCACTGTCTGTCTTGTCCCAGTGCCCAGCCCAGGGTCTGGTGCTTGGTATTTGTTGAAGGGACGGATTGCTGGACATGTGAGCCCAGCCATCATCAAAGTACAGCTGTAGGAAAGCCAGGCTGGGCTGTGGTGACCAGGCCCAAGACTGCAGTGACCTGCTGCCTGTTTCCCACAGGCGTCCCATTCATCTCTCTCCCAGTGCCTGCTCGGAGTGAGTCGTCACGATGTATGAAACCGTCTACAGCAGTGGGTACATGTCCCAGGGGTTAGTGGAAGGTGCAGATCGAGGCAGACTCGAGTCCTTGGAAGATTTCCTGACAGTGGGAGGGCACTGTGGCCAGGCTTTAAAGAAACAGCAGGTTTTTGGTGGTGGAGAACAATGTGAATAAAAGCCCAGAGAAAGGACCCACACAGATCCTGCCAATGGAAGCAGGTGGGGCTCTGCCATCCTCTGCTGCAGCAGGATTCTCTGTGCACTCCACTCCCCGCCCCAACCCCACTCTGCAGGAGCCCCAGCACGGCAGCTGCCATTTGCTCAGCATCTTCTGAGAGCAAGGTACCCTCTGGAAACCACCGGATGGACTCCTGACCTTGATTCCGGTTTGCTGGAGGGACGGTCTGCCTTTAGTTATGTTCAGGCCTTCAATGTATTGGATGGGGCCCGCCCACATTGGGGAGGGCCCTCTGCTTTACGGGGTCTACCAATTCAAATTCAATTCAAATGCTAATCTCATCTAGAGAAACCCTCATGAGCCCAAAATAATACCTGAACAAATATCTGGGCACCCTATGGCCTGGTCAACTTGACACATAAAATGAACCATCATGCCCTACGTCCAGTGAGGATGCAGGGGTGATGTGCGCGGGCGGGTCTCACGCAGGGGCACTGACGCGGGTGGGTCTCACAAGCCGGCGAGTCTCAGCAGGGAGGGAGGATGGAAAGGAGGAAGGAACAGGAGGAACAGGAGGCTGCAGCTGGTCACCAGGGAAGGGACTCAGGCCTGGCACTTGCTCACCTGGGCCCCCACGTGAACTGCACGTTCAAAGTCTGCACCCCAGCGGGCTAGCTCCAGTGAGAGCAGGGACTGAGCCTGTCCTGTGACCCTGTGCATGTTTACTACTGTTGTGGGCTGAATGGTGTCCC